TCTTTATACTTCTTCTTCAACACGTCATAGTAAAAACTAGACATATGCAATTTGGATAAACCTAAAATGCTCATTCCTACATATATAGGCTTATTTAGTTTAACTGTTTCTTTTAACTTCTCCACTCCTACCAGATTTTCATTAATGATGTGTCTGTGTTTATAAGTAGGAGCATTAACCACTTTTTGGAAACGCTCAGGTGTATCAACTAATTCAAAGTTTATGTGTTCTCTTACATTTTCCATCGTTTTACCATATACCGCGTTGTTCATTAATTTATACATATCCTTTTCAAAGTCGCTGTTTGCCTTCTTTCTTTTTTCAGTGTTAAAATCAATCCACGGTTTTAACCATTCTTTTTGTTTAAACTGGACTACTCTATTAATCTTCTTTATCTTAAGACCCTTCTGAAGATAATACTGCAATATTTTAATATGTAATACATAATTCTCTTTATGATTGACATTTAATATGAGTTTCTTTGTGTTTTCGTCTTTAGGTGAGTGATTAAAATGATATGCTTTGTAAATATCTTTTTGAGTATCACTTAACATATCAGCCGTAACACTCATAATTTCAGGAGCTAGTGGATAATCAACATGCATGTCATGTAACTCTTTCGGATATTCTAAATCAACGTCTAAAGCGTATCCAGTTCCTAAATCGCTCCATGTTCGTATATGGTCTTCTGTAAAGTTTCCTTCAACAAATTCAATATCTTTATATGGTAGTTTTTGACACATCGCTAAGCCATAAGGATTATTAGCATCAAGATCGTTTATATATGAAGATGGTTTATTTTCATCATAGCTTTCTCCCACAAATTTATTGTTTGCTTCTGCCATTCTGTGAGACACTTGGCACATTCCACCGCGCAATCCTCTCTCTATCGTTTTATAAAGGTCTTCGTTATATATGAAATCTAATTGTATTCCTGTTTTTAATAGCATAGCATCCCAAGCGAAATTAGGTAATGTATAATAATGTGCTGGGTCTAACTCATAATCTATTAAACATTGATTTCTAAAATTCTCAAATATGTCTGTTAATAATAACACATCCGTTTTCAGATATAAGTCATGATACTCACCCAGATTTTTTATGTTAAAGTGTTCCCATATATGCTTTGCTCTTTCATAGTCTTTATCGCTTATATCTTCTTCACCTAATCTACTATAAAACTCCTTTTTATCAGGTAATGTTGTTTCACTAAATTTCTGAAACTCATTCATATCATCATACGGATATACACCCTTATCAGTTAATAAATCTAAATCATAATCGTCTTTAATATATTCACTTGTTTTACTGTATTTAAAATTTTTTGTCCAATCATTTCTTTTAACATTATCTTTATATTTAGTTAATTTAACCAACTTATCTAACGATGAAGATAAGAAACTGAAACTGTCCTTAAATTCAAGTTGTTTAACACAAAAGGTTATAATTTTTTTCGCTGTTTTGTGCGATTACGCTGACATTTTCTTTTTTAGTATTCAACTTATCAAAATTTGATATTACTAAATGAGCGTCATAATTTTTAAGATTATGAAAGAAAATAGGAATTTTAAAGTATTTGAAACAATAATCTAAATTACATTTATGATGTGCTGGTCCTCTGTATTTTCCTGTAAAATGACAATGGTCACGTACTTTAGTTTTAGCTTTCACATTTGGGCTAAATGCGCCGTTGCAAATAAAACAACGCTTAGCTGTTAAATATTTTCCTTCCTCTTCATGTGTTAGTTTTTCCATATCTTTTGGGTTATACATTACCTCAAATATTTCTTCTCTTATCTCGTTCATAGTTTTACAAAATACTTCCATACAATCTTCACCTCTATATAAATATGGTTTAGCTTCTCGTGTTATTGAATTAACGACGTTTAACATAAAACCTGATGGTTTATGACTTTGATATGTCCCCTTTATTCCTTCATTCGTTAAGGCAGTTAAACATTCAAAACCTCCATAAATAACATAAGGGCATTTTAATTTCTTGTAGTGCTTTGAAAACTCATTTTTTCTTTTTCCTCTGGCATCTCTATCGCTTGAACCTCATTAGCCATACAACCTTTTAACAAATGAGCTTGCAATAAGTTCTCTTTTGTAAATCCTTTCTGGCAATATTGACAATAGAACTGTTTATTTGTTTTACAATTTGTTTGACCTCCTAAAAAGTCTTGAGTAGTCTTTAATTAAAACATACTGGTTTTTATTATCTTCATCAAGTCTTAATAAATTGATATGACATGTTGGGTTTGTTATTTTCGTTACTTTATCAACTCTTATTTTATCTTCATCTTTATCAATTGTATAAACATTTACTGATATAGTTTCACCATTCACCTCTTCAAACTTATCTATATCTTCATTACACGCTGGGAACTCTACACCGTCCCATTTTATGAAATTATCATTTTCTAAATACTTATTATAGTGATACAATCGTTCAGGATGGTCTTTTTTGTATATATCATGAAACTTACACCATACACAATATTTGAAGCATAGATTATCATAATTTTTAATATTAATACATGCCTTTTTTAATGATACCCAGCGCGGTAATTCAATATATTGTCCTGCTCTTGTTGGGTCATACTTATCATAATGAATAGTGGTTTTATTGACTTTCTTCATGCTTAAACCTGATTTTTGCAATTTTTTATTTTCTAGAATAATTTGAATATCGTTTCCTGCATTATTAACTGCTTTGTTTAATTCATCTTCATTTAAAATTGGATACGTTCTACTTCTGATTGTTGTTAATATTTCTTCTGTTGTCTCATCTTCTTCTATAACCTGTCTTAAAACAAATTCAACATCAATCAACAATTTCATGCTCTTGTGTTTGTTCAAAAACTCTTTTAATCGGGATTTTTGATAATACATGTGCCCTAAACCTTTTAAGCCTTCTTTCTCAATATCAATACTAGAATAGGTGTTGGCATATCGTTTTAAAGCACTAAAATTATCAGTTCTTTTTCCAAACGTTGATATAGCATATCGTTTTAAACTCTTTCTAACCATAACCCCTTTACTGGCCTTATCTAAAATCTCAAAACGTTTAAAAGCTGGTGTTTTACTAATTTTATTTAATTGTTTTTTTAAGTTCCCTGTAAAAGGTTTTTCTTTGTCATATTTATATTGTTTTCCATCAATTATAATCATCTTTAATTCTTTTCCTTTTTTAGCCTTTTTTTATTTCACCTGTTTTGCTATTTAATACATATCGCATTGTGGTTTTTAGGGCTCCCTGCTCTGCCATTGGGGTATAAGGTGGCTTCCCTTTAAGTAGGTTTGGTGTTGCTGGGTGTTGCTGGGTGTTGCGGGTTGTTCTGGGGCTGGGATTGTCATCAGGAGCATCAAGAGCATCAGGAGCATCATTTAACCAAATTCCTAAACCATCCCCAAAAAAATAAAATGTATGAAAAAGGAGCGCTTTTTTACACTAGGGTAAAGCACGAAACGCAAAGAATAACAATAAAAAAAGATGGGGTGCGCTCCTTTTTTAAAATCTTTCTCACTAAACTAAACCAAGCCACAACAACCCTGAACACTAAACCACAACAACCCTGAAAAACCCTGAGCGCCTAAACCGAAAAACCAAGCGGGGGAAGGAAGCACCGGTGCGTCGTAGTTCTCGGTGACAATGTCGTTCGTGTTCTTCTTGACCTGTCGTGTTTTTAGTAAAACTTTTCTTTATTTACTAAAAAGTCCATAGGGTATGTTGGGGATTATTGATTTTATTTGTTTATGGTCTATCATATTATTATTGTTCAGGATTTATGTTGTATTTTGTATGGGATTTACCTATATATTTATAGCATATTTTTTCAAATACTATACGCTTTGATTTTTTATTTGAGGGTTTTAGGGGTTTAGGATTTAGGGAAGAAGCAACGGTCATTCTTTCCTTGTCACTGCAGTCGTCTCAGTCGGGTTTCCTCTAATCATCTGAGGGACAAACCTTATTTTTTAGTTAAGACTTTTTAGTTTAGTAAGTTCTTATTTATCCTCATTTATCCTCAGATGATGAGAACCGCCGAAGTCAAGCTTCATCGGACAAACAAAAGCTCTACAGCTTTGTCACATCAACGCGCATTCCGTCTTTCACTCCAAGCTTGTAGAGAGTGAGGCCACCGCCCTCAAAGTCATCGTGCGTAATGGCAGGGAAGCGGATTTTGAATTTTCCGCGGTCCATCTTGGTTAGGCGGGAAATCTCGGTCTCAAGTTGCTTGATGTTGGACTTGCGGGTAAGGTCGGTGCGATAGTCCCACGAGTTCTCTCCATAGAAGATTTTTAAGGTGATAACCTCCGAGCGGTCGTCGGTCTTCTTCTTTGAGCCACTCTTTTCCTCAAGCTTTGCGATCTTATCCTTCATAAGCAACAGAGCGCTTTCAAAGAGCATGACGCCCTCCCGCATCTCCGCCAAATCATCACTTGTGCCTCGCTGAAAGCACTCTGTAATCTCATTGAATTTGTCTGTCGTGAGCTCTGGGGCAACGTCCTCCGCCTTCTCCAAAGCTCGTTCCATCTCCTTCGTCTTTGAGACATAGCCCGAAGCGCCCGAAGAGGAAGCCATAGCAAACGGTGCGAGAACAAAGGCCTGTGTATCTGACTGCTGAAATTGAGCAAAAGAGCTCAACCACTCAACTCGTTTCGCTTTGCTTCTGCTGAAATCCGAGCACGACAACCAAACGGAGCAAGGCGCAGTTCTGTCTTTTTTTCTCTTGAGGGCTTCGGTGAAGCTCTTTGTTTTCATTCAATCCTGTTTTCAGGACAGAGCAGACTGTACGCAAGAGCAAAAACTCAGGATTTTCCCGAGCACTCCGTCACATCTTTAAATAGATGCTTTCATTAAATAATTGTCATAAGAACCACAGCTTTAGGGGGAACGGCTATGGTTTTCAATGGGAACGGCTACAGTTTTCAATGGGAACGGCTACAGTTTTCAATTGGAACGGCTATGGTTATTATATAAGACAGAAGCAAAACTACATCACACAGCAACCTGAAGTCTCAGGTTCTTCTCGTTGTTCTTGGTTAGTCCTTTGCGATGCCCTTTTGATGCCGTCTCGGTAGGCGATGGATTGCTTGACCATCTCGTGAAGCATAGTTGGATTACAAGAAAGATGGTTCTGTTCATCTTCGTTGAAGTGCTTTGAAGCAAGTATCCTCATCCATGTCTCAATCGTTTCCTTCTTCAAGTGCTGGATAAAGTCTATCCACCTGTTCATCTCATCCAACTCGTCAATCACGATGAAGGCGCTATCAAGCACCCTATCTTCAACACAAGCTCTTTTCTTCTTTGGGTTGAAGATGTCAAGAAGCACCTTCAATTTCACATCGCTCATATCCTGCAAGAAGTTCGTGAGGATGTCCTCATCGTTGATGCTGGATTTGATTGCTTCCAACTTCTCCATAAAGGGTTTAGCGGATGCTGTCAGCGATGATGGGCAAGAAGAATTACCTTCCACAACTTCGGAACTGCGAGAGATAAGTTTAGTCATCCCCTTCTTTACCGTCTCATTGATGACCTCGCCTTTGCTCTTCAAATGGTTCTTCAAGACGCGACGAGACATTGCTAAGGATTGTTTTAGAAGGGATGCTAGGCTGAAATCACAAACGGCTCAAGCATTAAAGCAATCAGTTGCTCAAGTCTTCAAGGCAACTCTTCTCACGCACAACTGCTTCGCTCAAACAATACAAGCGTGTCAGGCGCACCTTTCAGGAAGACAAAGAAGTCGCCAACGAACCCAAACCTAAAATAGTAATATAAATCTTTGGTAAAAGCGTGTGAGGTGAGGATGCCCCAGAAAACAGGTGAGGCGATATGATAAAAGATGAAAGTGAATTAGGGGACGATGTTAAGAAATGAACAAAGGCGATTACGAAGTACTTAAATTTTTATTGTGATGAGAAACGAAGCAGGTGACAATGTTGATGATGGGAGGAAGGAGAGAACAAACGAGGGGGATAAAACAATTATAACGGATAAGGTGACGATGATGATGAAAACGAAGCAGGTGAGCAGATGAGAGAACAGATGAGGTAGCTATATATGGTAGGGCAAGGTCTCAGAACCAACCCCAGCCCCAGCCCTAGAACCAACTTTATTACAATTTTTTCCCCCCCCCTCCCCCCCTTCCAATTTTTTTAGCTGCAGACTTTGCTTTCTCCCTCCCCCTCACCCCACCGTTTTTCTTAATTCCCTGGCTGGTTCTTAATAGGAAATGAGGAATGGGTTCATAGGGTTACAAGATTGTCATAGGGATCTGTTCCATGTTCCCATTCCCCACAAAACACCAAGAAGAAACGTAGAGTTGAAGCCGAGGCAGTCGTGGTGGTTGGCTACATCGTGGGCTTCCAGTGCGTGACAACGACCGCGACAACAATAATAAGACAGCACCCTAAAACCCTCAAGCCATAACCCTAAACCCCAAACCCAGCAGCAGCAACAACAACAACGACGACAATAGCAACAACAACGGCAGCAACAACAACAACAACAACACAAACAACAAGAACGGCAACAACAACAACACCAACAACAACAACACAACCACAACCACCACGACGACAACCACAACCGCAACTGCAACCGCAACCGCAACCACAACCACACCCACAACCACAACCACAACCACAACAATAGTGATAAGATAAAATCAACGACAACAACAAAAATACGATTAATAATAGTTTTTAATAACAACAACCACAACAACAAGAACACCAATAACAAGAACAAGACACAACAACAACAACAACAACAACAACAACAACAACAACAACAACAGCAACAACAACAACACCAGCAGCAGCAGCAACAACAACATCAACAACAACAAGCAAGGTAGCGTAGGCTAGTTTCAGGAAAACGTAGAAAATGGCACGAAATCCATCCAAAATGTAAGGAAACAGTCTTTCCCCAACCCGACGTAGGCAACGTACATTCTCACGTTTTCCTCACGAAAACCTACGGGAAATGGCACCAAATCCCGGCCAAGATGGAAGAAAAGTAGTGCTTTCCCTCAGAAAAACCAAGGAATCCGGCCAACATGTCAGGAAAATAGTCGTTTCCCCAGGAAAAACCAAGGAAACGAGCCAAAACAATGGAGCGAAAAGTGTGCATGGCACCACAGCAGGGCGACACGTGCAGCCAGCATCCTGTGTAAATAATAGGACGCGGGGGCAAAAAAAAAAGGACCAAACAAAACAAAAAAAAGACCGAAATAAAACTCCACCCCTAAACTAAACGCCACCAAACCCATGCCAAAACCACCAAAAAACCCCACTTCACCAAGCACCACACCCCCACCAAACACCCACCACAAATCTGCCCACAGCCCCAGGAAGAGTCTGGCCTCTTGCTTACATTACGGCCAGGGTGGCGACCGTCGGACTCGTGACTCATGGTCTTTTGCAAAGCCTCGTAGGCTCATGGACTTCTGTGTTTCTTCTTCGCAGGAGGTGTTTGAGCTTGTTCGAGCTTTGCTTTGCTGCGCTCCGCGGCACTCCTGAGAAGCATGTGATCCGTATGAGCCCCGGCCTGTGTGACGAGCTTTGGTCTTGGGTCATCGTCAGCCCGGTGTGCGTCGCCAATCTGATGGCTCAGGTGCTTGAGTCTCTGTATGCGACGGATGCCTCCGATCATCTTTTGGCGGCGGCTGCTGCGCCACTCCCTTGTGAAGTGGCAAAGGAAGCCATAGGAAGCCTATCGTCACAGCCTCGTCCGAGGCGCCTGGACTCGGCTGCTGCCTCAAGGTGCGGCTCTGTTGAGAGCTAGAGAACAACTGTCTGAAGGCTTGGAGCTTCCTGAAGGAGCGTCTATACTCCCCACCCGTTCTGGCGAAAGCTTCTCCGGGCTCTGCGCTTTCGAACTTGCTGGATTGCCGAGGGTCGGTATAACCAACACATAAACGTTAAAGAGCTTAAGGCTTATCTTGCTCTTGAGAGAGATGGAGCCCGGCTTCACGTTTCTGTTCGGTTGTTAGCCCTGTTGGATAGTCAAGTGGCTCTGGCCGCTCTGCTGAAGGGGCATTCCTCGAGCCCAGCTCTCAACACTTTGTTGCGACGATCCCTCCCCTACATGCTCGGATCAGACCTATACTCTGGCCTTTCCTTTGCAAAGTCGGAAGAGAATGTTGCAGATGATCCGACCCGGCATCGGGCGTGTCGTGAGCCAGTTGAAGAGCTTCCGCCTTGGTTCGGTGCTTTAGCCGCAGGCAACTCTGAGCCCTTGGACTTTTGGCTCTCGCGACAAGCAGATCTGGCATCGGCTCGTGAAGCCGAACCCTTCCGCCCTGAAGATTTAGTCCGAGATTTCCCGGCTCCCGCTCAGCACGGCCCTTCTCTCGAGGAACCGGTGGCTGCACTGGCGGACCGTCCGCAAGAGCCCCGGCAAGCTCCTTCTGAGGTTGGTCATGCAAGTGGGCGAGCGACCCGGGCTCGCCGCACGCGATTGCTCGAGCAGGCGAAGGTGCGCCAAGTCGCTGTTAAGGTGACGGTGCCTCCAGGCTTGGACTTAGGCCCTAAGGCGGGCCTCTTGTTCTTGAGCTCTCTGCCGAGGCACTGCTTTCTCCCGAGGACTGGGCGACTCAACTTGAGTGAAGCTGGCGCTCTCGATATCGCTATCGGAGAACCCAGCATAGGCCGTGCCCTGCAGAAGTTAGGAGCCCCTTGGGTTTTAGTCCTGAGCCCCTCTTTTGCACCCGACTGCGACTTGCACTCCTCAGGGCTGCTGGAAAGTTTGAGGGCTTGCCTTGATGGTGGGTTGTTTGGGTCCTTAGGTGTTGGGAGTTTCACATCTCCCTCAAGGTGTCTTCGAAGAGGTGACGCTAGATAACCGATTCTCTGCATGGATAGGAGCAGCTGTTGCCTCCCTTCGTCCTGAGATCGCATTTTATGTTGTGGCTCCCGACTCGAGCTTCGTGTGGCGCGCTCCGGCACTCAGTGAGTTTGCAGATCCTGCTGGAACCCAGCTCTGTCGTGTCGACCTCTGCCGGTACGGGAGTCCTTGGCAAAAGCGAAGTCGAATCGCAAGCAATGGGGCTATTGCTGGCCTCCGCCTTTTCTGCAAATGTGACGTGATGCATCGTAGGCTCCGTGGCAGGGTTGGTGTAAGTTCGGGTTTAGGCACCAAGCTCAGACTTCATTTTCCCCGTGCCTTAGCCTATGAGGTTGCGTTGGCGGCTTCCGTGCGTGTTGGCTGGCTGCAGCCTGAGCCACTCGCGGTTGCTCGAGTCTCCAAGGTTGCCGGGCTCCCCCTGAATGCCGCCATCGCTAGAATAGGTAGTGCCCGACCCGGAGAAGCCCTAAATCCTGGACCCCGTAAGCCTCGCGTGTTGAGCCGAACCACCGGCCTTGAGTCCCGGCCGCTGCTCGGCCAGCAGACCCTCGGGCTGGGGGAGCAAGGATGGTCGTCTTTCCTGTCTTGGTCTCGGTCTCGTCTCTCTGTCGACCCTCTCGATCTCTTTAGCCGTAGCGCCGCGCTCCTAGCCATGGCTCTGCGTGCTTACGGCAACTGGCTTTACAGTTCTGGCGGCTCTCTGTACTCGCTACGACACACTCTGCTGGCAAGCCAACGGAAGTATCTGGATCTGCGGCCGTATTCAAGGATCGTCTGGGAACTGGTTACCAGATGGGAGCATGTGGAACCTCCTCAACACCGGACTCCGGTTCCGGAGCCGATCTTGAAGGCGATTGTCTCTCTGACCTGGATGCTAGGGTTTCGCTCTTTCGCTGGAGCAGCTCTTTTGGCCTTTTATGGTCTGGGCAGGATTGGCGAAGTCCTGCAGTGTACTCGTGGAGACCTGCTCTTGCCCTCCGACGACCTTTGGAACCAAAGTGGAGCTGTTTTTCTGCGGTTAGGAGCTTCAAAGACGTCCACCCGGGGTCGCCCTCGGGTACAGCACCTGAAGATCATCGATGAGACTGCAATCGCTCTCATTTCGATCGCCTTTGGAGGCCTGGCTCGGTCGCAACCACTGTTTGCTCAAACACCTGCAGCCTTTCGCTACCGCTGGAACAAGGCCCTACGGTCCTTGAACCTTGACGCGGGCCTCCGTCTTACACCGGGAGGACTACGAGGTGGCGGCGCTGTTGAAGCCTACCGACGAGGGTTGCCTGTGACTGAGATCCAGTGGCGTATGCGGCTCAAAAACCTTCACACTCTCGAATTCTATCTCCAGGAACTTGGAGCCGTATCAGCTTTGGCGGCGTTGAACAGGCAGCGACTTCCCGAGTGCAAGCCGCTGCCGCCTGCTTTTCTGCTCTGTCTTCGTGCACGGTATAATTCCAGGAGCCCGCGCTCTTTATTCCCGTACAAGCCTGCGGCCTGACGTGCTCGCCGCCCAGCCGGCTGGCCCTTCTGACAAGTGGAAGCGGGGCTTCACGAACTGACTGCAGCTGCTGTGTTGGCCTTGGCCACTCCAGCAGCTTGGGAAGCTGCGGTCGACGTACAGGTTCGTTGGTGCCGCCGACCTCGTCACTTGAAGCGGTACGGGAAAAGTCATAGCGACTTGAGCTTTTGTGGGTAAGCCATGTACAACATGATCAAGATGTTCGGCCGGCACATGCAGAATCGAGGCATGAAAAGCGATTAATGCGGCATTTTTGTGTCGTCGAGCACATGCAAGCAAAGGCAACGAAGCAGCCTTGTGCTGCATGGCAGGTGGGAACGTGTAAAACAAGCAGTGCGATTAGTGAGTAGAATGTGATTAGTGTCCTGGGACATTCAAAAGCGATAAAGGAGCGCAATTAAGATGTTCGTAGAATCAAGCGATTCAAGCTTGTTTGTGTGGCGATGGAATAGTTGCTTGTAAAAAGCAAAGTTCGGTAAGCGTAAATAGATTGGATAGGATCCATGAAGACGGCCAAAGTTGAAATGTTTGTTCAGGTCGTGCTGTTTGGCCGCGGCCAGGGCACAGAATGCAAAACCGACTGACCTGCCAGATTTTGGTGTTGTTGTGCACGCGCAAGCGTGCGCACCGAAAGAGAATTGTGCTGCATGGCAGCTAGCCAGAGCACGTGCATAGCAAGCTGTGCGATTAGTGATTAGAATGTGATTCGTATCCCGGGGCCATACAAAAGTGAGAATGGAGCAGAATCAAGATGTGCGGCCGGCACATGTAGAATCAAGCGATTCAAATTTGTGTGTGCTGCTTTGTGTGGCGATGGAAGCCAAAAATCAAAGAAGTGCCTTGTAGTTGATGGTGTTCGAAAAGGCAAAGTTCGGTAAGCGCAAATAAATTTGATAGGATCCATGAAGACGGCCAAAGTTGAAATGCTTGTTCAGGTCGTGCTGTTTGGCCGCGGCCAGGGCACAGAATGCACAACAGTTTGATTTGCCAGATTTTTGTGTTGTTGCGCACGCGCAAGCATGAGCACTGAAAGAGCTTTGTGCTGCATGGCAGATAGCCAGAGCACGTGCATAGCCAGCAGTGCGATTGGTGATTAGAATGTGATTCGTGTCCCGGGGCCATGCAAAAGTGAGAATGGAGCAGAATCAAGCTGTGCGGCCGGCACATGTAGAATCAAGCGATTCAAATTTGTGTGTGGTGTCATGCAAGACGCTGTTGTGTGTGGCGATGGAAATCAAAGATCAAAGAATCGCCTTATAGTTGATTGTAAGAAACAAAGTTCGGTAAGCGCAAATAGATTGGATAGGATCCATGAAGACGGCCAAAGTTGAAATGCTTGTTCAGGTCGTGCTGTTTGGCCGCGGCCAGGGCAGAGAATGCACAGCAGTTTGATTTGCCAGATTTTGGTGTTGTTGCGCACGCGCAAGCATGCGCACCGAAAGAGCTTTGTGCTGCATGGCAGCTAGCCAGAGCACGTGCATAGCAAGCAGTGCGATTGGTGATTAGAATGTGATTCGTATCCCGGGGCCATGCAAAAGTGAGAATGGAGCAGAATCAAGATGTTCGGCCGGCACATGCAGAATCGAGGCATGAAAAGCGATTAATGCGGCATTTTTGTGTCGTCGAGCACATGCAAGCAAAGGCAACGAAGCAGCCTTGTGCTGCATGGCAGGTGGGACGTGTAAAACAAGCAGTGCGATTAGTGAGTAGAATGTGATTAGTGTCCTGGGACATTCAAAAGCGATAAAGGAGCGCAATTAAGATGTTCGTAGAATCAAGCGATTCAAGCTTGTTTGTGTGGCGATGGAAATCAAAGATCAAAGAAGTGACTTATAGTTGCTTGTAAAAAGCAAAGTTCGGTAAGCGTAAATAGATTGGATAGGATCCATGAAGACGGCCAAAGTTGAAATGTTTGTTCAGGTCGTGCTGTTTGGCCGCGGCCAGGGCAGAGAATGCACAGCAGTTTGATTTGCCAGATTTTGGTGTTGTTGCGCACCCGCAAGCATGCGCACCGAAAGAGCTTTGTGCTGCATGGCAGCTAGCCAGAGCACGTGCATAGCAAGCAGTGCGATTGGTGATTAGAATGTGATTCGTATCCCGGGGCCATGCAAAAGTGAGAATGGAGCAGAATCAAGATGTGCGGCCGGCACCTGTAGAATCAAGCGATTCAAACTTTTGTGTTGTCATGCAAGACGCTGTTGTGTGTGGCGATGGAAATCAAAGGTCAAAGACTTGCTTTATAGTTGATTGTAAAAAACAAAGTTCGGTAAGCGCAAATAGATTGGATAGGATCCATGAAGACGGCCAAAGTTGAAATGTATGATCAGGTCGTGCTGTTTGGCCGCGGCCAGGGCGCAGAATGCAAAACCGACTGACTTGCCAGATTTTTGTGTTGTTGCGCACGCGCAAGCATGTGCACTGAAAGAGCTTTGTGCTGCATGGCAGATAGCCAGAGCACGTGCATAGCCAGCAGTGCGATTAGTGATTAGAATGTGATTCGTATCCCGGGGCCATTCAAAAGCGAGAATGGAGCATATTCACCGGATGCATTTTTTTACAAGTTTTTTTTTTGAGGGGGGGGGGGGGGAAGGGGGGGTGAGGTTTTTTTTCCCCATGCGTTTCTGTTTGTTGCTTTTTGCTTTCTGCTTTCTGCAGTTCGCTGCTGGCTTCTTTTTGCCCCCTGCTTTTGGCTTTGTCCTTCCCTTCTTGCTTCTTACGTTTTGCTGTCAGCTTTTTGCTCCTTATTTGTTGCTTCCCGCGATCTCCTGAGTACGGTTTGCTCGCTGTGTTAGCTTCCTGGCTCTCGTTGACTGTGCTCAGCTTCCCGATTGCTGCTATCTGCGATTGTTTTTTTTGCTTCTTGCTTCTTTTTCCTGGTAGTGCTTTTCTGCTTAGTAGTACTTGCCGTCTTTCATCATGTGTCAACATTCTTCATCATATTCTGAATTTCCCTTATCTTCCATTTCTTTCAATTTCTGTCAGCAGTGACAATATCTTTTATCATTTTCAATAATTCTTGGCAATTCTCATGACTTTTCATCAATTGCATATTGTTTAATAATTCTCCATCCTTCCGCCTTATTGTCCATGTTGTTCATGGGTTCTCATGCTTTCTCGATAGTTTCCATCATCTTTCATCGCCTTTATATTTGTTGTTTGCAAGCCTTTTTGAGGCCATCAATGCTGTAACAAAGAAGCATCATGTCATCACAATGTTTGCAATGAGGAATGCTTCTGCAGATCATTTTGTTTGCGCATGGGCGGGAGTTGTCCCCGCCCCTCACCCCTTGTTTGAACGCCATCCACACTCGCCGTGTCCGAGAAGCGCCGTGTTATTGCCAGAAATGGCAACAAAAGAGCGTTGTGCTGCATGGGTGCCATTAGTGATCATTGCCATCTGCGGTTTGAGCGGGTTTGCCTTATGCGTTGATAAATGCTTCTGGCGGAGTGGAGCTCTTCCAAGATGTGGTGAACCAGATTAATGCTCGCCCTGAACATCAGCCTGCAGCGCCTTTTGAAGGGATCGTCGTCCTGCTCGAGAACGTGAGGCTGGTGTCTTCGCTACAGGACCTGTCTCCCATTGGTTTGGTCGAATCAGTGCGCAAACCGAGCGCAGCACTTGCAGCGGCTCGCACTGCCGATATCTGGCCTCTGCCTCATGAGCAACTAGGTGGGTTGCCAGGGATTCAGGTTGCTGAGGTGGATTGAGGTGGTGTGGTTGGCATACAGCATGATGGGTAGGAGTGCCATGTACGAAGATGGCCACGTGTTTCTCGAATTTACATCTCGGCAGCAATTGATAGCCTTGACCATGGGGCAGTTCAGTGGATCGTTGCCCGATTCAACAATCCTGAGGCTGCTACCGGCATGTGCTTCCTCAATAGTCTTCTTACCAACCAAATCTTGCATTTCAGTTTGTCGGGCGAAAATTGGTCACAGAAGATGTTTCGCGGCACAGCCACAGCCGAAGGTGGAACGCGCTTCCCTAAGCTGTGCCCGAATTTTGTGTTTGGTGTTCGCTGATTGGGGTGAAGCTTGGATGCTTCGGGGAGAAGTGCCGCCATTCACAGCTTTGTCCTTGGCCCTTTGGGCGCTCTTTTTTGTGCATGATGGACTGCTGCCTTTCACGGGGATGGCCCAAATATGAAAGCTCCTGCCAGATATCACTCAAGCCCTGCATCACCTTGGCCTTGGCATTCATCGCGGCTGTTGGGCCGGCACGGGCGAGGGCCGTTGCCAGCCTGCTTTGCCTGGCGTGCAGGTGGTTGCTCAAGTCACATTCTTGGGCTGTAGTGTTGTCTATTACAGCATCAGATGAGGAGGTGGCCCAGTTGTTAGGGCGTTTCTTGCGTCTAGCCAACTATGTGTTGGATCGTAGGGTCAACATTTTCCAAAGGGCTTTCTTGATCAGCATGTCGGTGGTTGCTTGAATTCGATGAATGATTTGGCGGGTGGGTGCCCTCTTCTGCAGTGTTGCGGCTACGCTGAGTCCAGCATTGCACGCTGCTGGTTTGGCTACTGGTTTTTTCGACAGCATCAGTCATGCGCCGATCTTTCCCAGTTTGCCTCGACGCGTCATGCGGCGAAGTTGCGGGGACGACGCTGTAATGGGTATCTTCGGGATGGTCTATGTGATGTGCAGTGTTGGGGTTTGGTTGGGCATATGGTTCGCTCTTCTGCCTCAAGGTTGCCGTGTGCCGCTTTGACTTAGACTTAGAGGTCCATATGGGAGCTTTGCATCAGGGCATGCGGCGGTACAGATGCGGTCCCGATAACGCCAATGCAGCTCGAGTGTCTCAATTCATGCACTTACTACACAGAAGATGGGAGTCTGCCGAAAGCCGAGTTTCGTGGCCATCCTTGGAGTCGCAATGGGTGCACTATTGCGGTGTGCTGACCCGTGATGTGGCCTGCAATGCGGAGCCTGTTCCCGTCGAGCACATGTCGTTCAGCTGTCGTTGTTTACAAAAGTGCGCTTC